ACTAAAATCATTATTTCTAAATCTTTCAAACCACTTCTGCGCAGTCCTTACACTTTACAGTTTGATTATGAACAGTATTTAATTTTTTGGCTGCATTTGTAGCATTCTCATCACTTAAAAATAAAAAGTATAAAACATGTTTCTTATATTCATCTGTTACTTCCATTTTAACGAAAATAAACAACTGAAATGTTCCCAATTCTGAACAGTATTATATGAATGAGATCCAATTTAATACTTCAGTGTAAAAAGCATCACATTAGACTGGCATTTTTAACAGCAAAACAAGATTTATCTCAAGGTCATAAAATACACACAAACTTATGAACTGACCTGATAATTGGCATAAAGAGCATAAAGAATGACTGACATGCACGGAAGAAAAAATTACTAATCTTATTTCTTTCAAGTTAGTATGTATTAATAATTTTTCCTTAGTCTTACTTTTTAAACTCATTTACAATAAATTAAGAGGAAATAATGTTATTTTTGGTCTAAGAGGTAACAATGAAGATTTAATAAATAATACTAGAAATGACCAATCTTTTAAAACTATTTGACAAAGAATGGTATGGTTTGATGTGCAATGTTTGCAGTTAAAGAAAAAAATCGGTCTTTGCAATTATTCCATAAAAATAAGACCAGAGATTCGTTAGATGAATATTGCAAATTAAATGAAAGCTATAAATCATTATATAATGCTAATAAAAACTATTTAGGGATAAAATTAATCTACAATTACAATGCACTAGAGGTACAAAAGAATTTTGATTATTAGGTAACAAATTCAGGACCAAGAGGAAGTTTGCAAATGTACTTACATGTGAGGTCTGGTTCAGTTTTATGAGAGAGAATTTTTCTGGTCCTTACATGATTATTTTTTTAAAAAATTCTCTAGTATATAATTCTTAGAGGATCCAATTTCTCAATCAGAATTATATTATGCAGCCAGAAAATTAAAACTTCATATGTCACCAGGTCTAGATAATATTCAAAATGAAATGACTAAAAATCTTTCCACTTAAATACTAAATGATATTTTAAATGTTTAATTTGTATAAATCAAATAAAGAATTTCCTGCAACTTGGAAACAAATTAGCTTAATGTTATATAAAAAAGACTGTAGATCAGTTACAAATAATTATTGGCCAATAGCATTAATTAGTGTACTAAGAAAATTGTTCTCAACTATATTGGCAAGTTGTCTTCAACTCTGGATGGAAGAGTACATCATCATTATCTTTTTTCATGAAGCTTTTGTGAAGAATAGAGGAGATGAATATAATTTGTTTCTTTTAAATGGAATTGTTCAATCTACACTTTTAAGAAAATGGAAAAACTATACAGATTTTATGGACTTAAAAAAAGCTTTTGATTCTGTTGATCATGACATACTATGGTTTAAACTTGGATGTGTGGGTCTTTCTATAAATTTCATTATTTACTTAACATATGTTCAAAAATGAATTTTTATGTAATAGAAGAAACATTTTTTTTGTACAGAATTTGTTACATCAAACAAATGATGCTCGAGAAGAACCTTTAACTTTAATTCTTTTTCTGAATGATCTGAAATTTCTACAAGGTCAAACTTCTGAAATTGCTTTATCATCATATATAAACACTAGTAGCCCGGGACGCCCCCTAGTGGGCGTTCTTTACAAATTCCCATGAGGCATGGTTCCTTTGACTTTTTTATTTCTATCAATATGCTCTACAGCTCTGTTAAAGTCCCAATCGCATCATACGGATCTAGATTTCTACCTATTAAACATTTTATAAATACTTTAAAATAGTTTAATTTGTTTATTTACCTTCGTTTGTAAACCTCGATTTTAAATGTATCTGCCATTTTTTCAACAAATTTCCCGTGAATCAATGCACAACGTTCACTAAAAGTCATGGGATGTTGTAAACATGTGGCACAAGGTTAATCAAGGCATATAATAATTATTTATACCATTCCGTTGTATAAATAATAAATTCGTATTACAAATAAAAATAATTTATTGTTAATTTAAAATCATCGCTAGGGCGCCTCTAGTGCCTGTTTTTGGCATACCGTTACGCGGAAGGACATGCATTGAATGGGTTATATAGATAGATAATTTCTCTCTTATATGTGGGCAATGTTTGTTGACTAACACAGCATAACACAGTAGTTGCTCTTCAAGAAAGATTAATTTAATCTGTAAATACTGTCAGGACAGGACAACCAACTAATGATTAATCTCAAAAAAAATGAAAATAATGATTTTCTGAAGAGGTGGCAAACTTAAAAAATTGCATAAATTTTATTTAGAGAATCACAAACTGGATATTGTTTCAAACTTTAAATATTTAGGTATTGATTTTACCATTCACTGTTCATTTTCTTTTCATTTGGAAAAAGTCACACTAGATGCCAATGCAAAAATTTTGAATCTCATAAAACTTCTTGTTAAATTGAGAATCTCTTTGCTTAATAACATTTCAGTTTATTTGATGCATTAATTAGATAGAATATTTTATATGCATTTCGTATATGGGGAGTATTATTGCTACACAAAGTTGAAAAATATAGAATTGTTTTTCTTCAAACAAGTTTTTCATTTAAATTATTCTGTGCCAGAACCTGTTATAAGAATGGAATTGGGTAGGGAATAATTTATCACTTTGTTTGCTACAATTCTGGAATAAAATTATCACTTTATCGAACAATGATTTAATGACAATTGATATACAGGTATCCCTTCTACAACACCAGTTTTGCTCTAACACAGTTCAAATATTGGGGAAATCCTTCATACAACACCAGTTTCTGGTTTTGCTCTAACACAATTTGAGCATTTGGAAATCTTCCGTGCAAAATTTCACAACTTTTAAGTGCCTACTTTTTTATTCAATATTTTTTATTCAAATAAGCATGCATGTTATCTAAAATTTGCCCTTGGATTTTATAATATTAAAATTTTCAGTTTGTTTTGTGCCTTTTATCAGGTTTAATAAAACTTGATAGTGCAATTTTTCCCCCTTGTTCTAGCTTTTTCTATCAACCAAGTGTTGTCGTCATTCCTTTTAGACTTCAACCTTTAAGACTCACTTTTGTTTTGTTTTTATAGATTAAAGTACATATTTAGTAAAGTTTATTTAAACAATTTAAGTACTCATTTGTAAAAATGACAAATGAAATATGGTGGTATCTCAATACTTAACTGTTCCCAACTGGAACAATTTAATATTTGAACACAAATTCTGGAAAAAATCACTCAGTCCTTGATTGAACAAATGTGACCCACTAGAAGAAATTTCAATTAATAACATATTTTTATTTTTTTTTATCATACATAAGAAACATTAATATTATTTATTAGTATTCATTTTCATGTGTCTATAATATATTGCAGATCTTGTAAAAATTCAAGTGTGCATTTTTACAAGATGTTGCAAAATTGTTTTTTAAAGGAAACAAATCCACATAGCATGTAATTCAAATATTAAATTTTTAACTGAAATCATATTTAGAGGACTAGTACTAAATATAAATGATAACATAAAAATAAGTTTCAAAAACTTATCTGCAAATTCCAAACACTCATTTTTTACAATTAAATAAATATTTATCTATTTGTTAAAGGTTGTTGGTAGTATGGATGCTCATCCAAGCAGGTATGCAGCAACTGTTCGTGTGCAGCAGCATCGCCAAGAAATTATACAAGATTTGTCTTGTATGGTTAGAGAATTGTTAATTCAGTTTTATAAATCAACTCGTTTCAAGCCAAATAGGATAATTTTTTATAGAGATGGTGTATCAGAAGGCCAGTTTCATCAGGTATATTGTTTCTTTTTATATAAAAAATAATCAGTAATTTAGATTCTTAAAATTTCTATTTATTAAACCAGATATTAATGTTTTATGCAATTATAGTCAAATATATTTTAATTTTATTGTTAGAGTCAACTTTTCTTAATCTCATATATTGACTTTGAACTGGATTATTGTAAACACTTGGACAAAAACCTATTCCAGCAATCATTTTTAAATTTTATTTAACTCTTTTGGCTATCTGTGTAGCTATTCAAAAGTGTCTAATCCTGACAATGGCTACACAGATAGCCGAAAGCATTAGATAAAATTTTAAAAACTTTTCTTAAATAACTTTACTAAAAACTTTATTTTGATAAACTATAGGTTCTTGCTCATGAATTATTAGCTGTTAGGGAAGCCTGTATGAAATTAGAAGTGGATTATAAACCAGGTATAACTTTTATAGTAGTTCAAAAACGTCATCATACCAGATTGTTCTGTTCTGATAAAAAGGAACAAATTGGAAAAAGTGGTAACATTCCAGCTGGCACTACAGTTGATGTTGGTATAACACATCCAACAGAATTTGATTTTTATCTTTGTAGTCATGCAGGTATACAAGTAAGTAATTTTCTCATCATTTTAATTAATACTACAGTAGAATCCTGATTATCCAAGACTTAGTTATCTGGGACAAACCTGCAATCAATACACTTTCTTTCTTATACTATAATTCATAAAAGAAAGTTTAAAATGGTACATGTTTTAAAGTAACTATAATAATTTACATAATATATGTTTTTGTTCTTAAAATTATTGTGCATATTAGTTGTATAATAATGTAAAATTATTATTCTTATATATGATTAAATTGACTAAGATATAAAAAGAAGCATAAAATATATACCATATAAATCTTTTGTATTGGTAATTTTTAATCTGAAATGGTTGTGGTTGTTCATATCATCAGAGTTTTCAGTTATCTGAGGTAACATTGGTCCACATTTACCTTGAATAATTGGGGTTCTGCTGTAAATAAAATTAATATGAAAAGCAATATGTAAGTTTTTCCTGTCAGATATTAGTCTTTATGAAAAATATATTTTTTAAAATATTTTTTTGTTTGTTAAGTATGTTATTAGTTGTTAAAAGTATAATAAGTTTACTTAATTAAAAAGTTTTTATCTGTTCTTTCATAGTAAACAGTCAGGTTTTATTTGAATAATTGTCTATAAAATAAATTTTTAATGATAGTGAAGGAAGGTTATAAAGTGATTAGAGAGTGCTTATCAGTTTCTACAAATGTAAGAGTTTTTGGAAAATTATTATTTATAGATTCCTAAAAATTCTTGAACATAGATGAAAATTCTAAAATTCTTACTCTCTTCCAAGATTGTTTTATATATCTATTAGTACTTTATGCAATATTGCAGAGAATGATGTAAAATAATGTTTTATGTTTAAAACGTGCTTAAACACAATACTTATTTATTAGTCTTCTCTATTTAGTAAATGAAATGAGCAAATCAACTAAATCTGATTCCTAATTTTGTTAGGATGACTTCTCTCCTGTTTTAATTTGTTCTATGCCACTGGTCAATGATTGATGTTATGGTATTTAGTCTGTTCTTCCATGTTAATTTTCAAAGATTTTGATATTTTTGTCTAATTGTAAGTTTTTATATCAATGAAAAAGATAGAATTGAAAGTTTTGCAATTCTATCTTTTTCACTGATTTAAGAATTGCAAGTTAAAAAAGGAAATTAGCTTAGTAATGTATCAACCAACCTAGTTACTTTAATGCCAAAATGGATAGTTTTCTTTGGTAAGATTTACTACTATAAACCTTTTAGATGTGGATTGTAAAGAAATTTTTGGAGATTGACAAGAATGGGATGTGAGGGAAATTTATATGAAAACAGCATCAGAAGAGAGCTTAAGAAATCTAAATGTATTAGACAGAAACAACAATGTTTGAATTGAATATGCTTTAAAACTAGCTTGTAATTTTTCAGTAAATGGAGAAGCATTGGATGCAATTTGATTAGATAAATCTCTTCATGGTAGACAGTTGCATTCTATATGAGTGTTTTTGGTTTTAATCCACTACTTTACAGTGATAAGAAGTTTGCATTGTGATGATGTATACCACAACAATTTGCAAATATGCAACTATACATGCAAACAAGAGTATTATATCTTTAGGAAATTTTAGAAGTTAAATCTATTGGACCTTTTAGAACTGTCTAAGTGGACTAGAGTTAGCATCAAACAAGATATGATTGATATTTAAGTCTGTCGTGTTGATCAAAATTTTTGTATGTATGTTACTGTGAATGACCGATATCCGGCAAATGTCAACATTCTCCGGTGAATGTCAGCATTCACACAGTCGTTTCATGTATGTACGAAATATTTGCTAAATATCATTATTTCTTACTTACACCGGCAAATGTCGACATTCGGCATGCACTGATGGTGAATGTTGAATAAAAATATTTTTATTACGTTTTAAGACAAAAATGCAACTTTTTAATATGTCAAAATAGGAGAAAGCTTAAGTAACAGCACATGTAAATAAACTGTTAAACCTAAAACGAACAGTACATTCTAAATCATTAAAGAAAATAATACAATAATAAACTTACATGTAATCTATGTGATTAACGTTATAAAATCTTATTTATTGCAACAACTTAAACTGTTATGACACTTTAAATTGCGCAAGAGTCCCTTGCTTTTACAACTGCATTTATTCGCAGAACACTTCTTTTTGCAATGACAGCATGTATAGCCTTGCCTTCCTTTTTTCGAATTAGCTGCAACAACTTATCTCAATGATATTTCTTGAGAAGAAATCTCATCTATGGAAAGTAACTTTTCTTTACAAATTACGAACTGATTACATTATTACATGATTATGAACTGATCTGTTAATGGTGTCTTTTATTCGGATATTGCTGATGCCTTATCGACAACCCGTCTCATCCTCCACCACTCGACCTGACAAACCGATCCCCACCTCACGGGATCAAAAGAACAAAGACGCCATCCAGTGACAAAGTGGGCAGGTTCCATTAAACCGCTGCTAGGATAAGAGGTATGACCTTGTCTTACCTCCGGATACCCACAAAGGATTTGGAGACAGACTGTCGCCTCTCTGCAGGCATCAGCTTCTTGGGTGTCGTTTCGACCTCCACCAAAGCTTATCTGTGCTTGTCGTCATACACCGGCGATTGTTCGAATGTATAATAATATAACCAAATATTCGGTCTTTCACTGACATATTTTGTATGTGTCTGCATTCACTGAAAAATATTGACATTCTCTAATTTTGGTCTTTCACAGTAACATATATTTTAAAAATGATGAAGAGCAAATGGAGAATGTTTGAGAAAATACTTTAATTGAAAAATGTTACACTAATTTCACTACTACTATGATTACACTATTTCTAGATAATATAGGTCACAAAAAAGGAGAGAGATTTGTTCTCTTCAAATTGAAACAGAGGTTTAAATGATTCTGCATAGAGACTTTGTATGGAAGACTTTGTATGTAATGGCTCTTGTACTGTACATAGTTATAAACCTTGATAATGAACAGTTTTTTTCTGTTCTCACAAAGTATGAATTAGCTTTAAATCTGGTACAAATTACAAAATTGGAATTGTTTAATTAATTAAATGGTTTCATTTCTATATGCAAACTGTATTAGCTTCCATAGTAAAATAATGAAAAATATAATCATACATTAAGAAATGATAATTGTGTTTTAATAAAATATTATATAATAATGATGCCTATGTTTAGGCATTCTAGATTCCATATTTCTAACTTATGATTTAGTTTTATTCACTATCTCTCTTTTTTTAAATAAGTTTATTTAGTTTAAGAAAAATAGAAGAAAAATATTCAATGCATAAAACTACTTAGTTTTAATAAACTTTAGGCTAAACCGGGTTCGATTTACATTCATTATAAAGTATTATCCTTACAATCTAGGATTTATAAATCGTATAGGTTTGCGTAGATGACTTTTAAAATAGTTATATTATTTAATTTTTACATTATTAAAATAAATTTATAATTCTGTAATGTTTCAGCTGTAGATCTGTCTTGTAATAGGTTGTAATATTCGAATCGATTTGTAATATATATATATATATATATATATAAATGTTATATTCGATTTACAGAAAANCAGTCATTTTTACTACTATTTTTAGCAAAGTTGATATTTTATTTCATAATTCACACGTTTATGCATCATTATTTATACACATGCTTAATATTACAACATTTCACTAAAAATAGTAGTAAAAATGACTGGTGCCCAGTTAACAGAAAAGTACCAATTATTTAATTTCTAATATTTAATTATAGCTTTTACATAGCCCAAGAATTTGGCATATTGTTTGGTGTGTTTATTATATAACAGGGCTATAGTTGCTGATGTTTATATGTAATATGTCTAAACACAAGTTTGGAAAAATGTGTGATCACAAGCAACACTAAGATGCTAACAGAACGAGTGCTAAACACAGACTGAGATAGTATGTGCACAATTCGGGACTTCCCCTCATATCTTCATTTTTTATGGGAAACATTGCTCGTTAAGTGAGTCATTTTTTTACAATCTGTTTTGCTCGTTATGAGAGGTGCTCGTTAAGCAGGATTCTACTGTAATAGATAATAAATACACATTAGTTAAAAGTAATAGATTCACACAGAACTTAAGTGTCTAAAATTTTTAGGTGATTTTATGTAATCACAAAAGAAAAAAAAAATTAGTAAAGAATTAACACATCAAGCACCATGAGTTGCAAATATATAACATGCTCAGAATTTCACTAGAGCATGTTGCAGAAATGCAACACACAGCTTAGGTGAAATCCTATACACTGCTACACACACTGTATATTGAAATCTGTGTTGTTACTTTGAAGCAACGTGCTATCCATGTAAACATAATGAAAATAATGCAAGTCCTGGGGTTATGGAAATTCCACTTGAACCAGTAAATTTTTTTATGATAAAATACTAATAAGAATTTAATTTTTTCCCCTAAAAAATATGAAACATAAGTAAATTTGCCATTTCTAATGCTTTTATTGCACAATGAACATGAATAAATACAATATCATGTAAATACATAACACAAAAACAAATATTCAAGAAACAATTTTTATTTTCTTTCAGTGAACATAAACAATAAAAAAACAGAAGATATATTATTGTAGTGATTATTGTATTTTTTTTTATTGTACAAAGAAATAAATTTCCATAAATAAAGTTTATAATTTGTTATTTAGTGAATGATTTTCATTTTATTTTAATGTCTAAATATTGAAGTATATACCTGTATATGTATATATTGTTACAGGGCACAAGCCGACCTTCACATTACCATGTTCTTTGGGACGACAACCAATTCACAGCAGATGAATTACAGTGCCTGACATACCAATTGTGCCATACTTACGTTCGTTGCACCCGATCTGTCTCAATTCCAGCTCCTGCTTATTATGCTCATTTGGTGGCTTTCAGGGCACGTTATCATCTTGTTGAAAAAGAGCATGATCGGTAATATTTTTTTGGAATAATTACTAATTTGATATTTATTGCATTATAAAATTTAAGTACCCTAATTATTTGTGAAAGTTTTAAATTTTGCCAATTTTTATAATCTTATTAAATATACCAATTTTTTCTTTCTCCCATACTGAAAATTGAAACACAGAGTAGATTTACTTAAACTTCTTTTTTCATATAATAATTTTATTTAAAACTATTGAGTATTGAGATTAATCAATTAAATATTAAATTTTTTTTCACTGCAAAGCAGATGTAAAAATCAATCATATCATTCATCCATTATACATGCATTTAGTCTTTCTTTTTAGGGTAACTTTTAATAACTTTTCTCTTATATTAGCAAATAATATGTTGGTTTCTGTTTGTTTTTTCCCTATTTCTCTATCCATGTATTTATCATCTATTTATTGATATTTATTATATTTTAGTCTATCATTATGTCACTGGAATTCCATCATTTTGAATTGATGAAATTCATTGTTTGAGAGAAATTATGACATTAATTAAAAAGCATTGTAATACTTATTTTACAATGCTTTTTAATTTTCAAATATCAAATGAGTAGATGGATTCCTTTATCAGGCTATTAAAGCTAAATAATGTACTAAGTGATTTGGCAGGAGATAGGCAGCAAGACTGTCATCTCTTGTTAAATTTAATAATTATAAATAAATAAATAAATTTAATTCTAGAAAATTCTGGAAGAAAAGATCAGCCCAGACAGGGACTTGTACCTGCAACTCTGTTTACCATGCAAAGCTGTTGTCAGTTATATTACCCTTTGCAGATTTCTGCACAGTAAGAGAAGTTGTGGGTTTGATTTCCACTCTTGAGTGATATTTTCTTTCAGAATGCCCTAAAATTAAATTCATTTACTTATTTTATAATTATTAACTTAATCAAGGTGGAACCTCACCACCTACTTCTTACCAAATTTCTTAGTAATTATTTAGCTTTAATAGTCTGATTAAAGGAATCTGGCTGTTCATTTGCTTTTTAATCTTGTTGTCAGAATTTTCTGTAAAATGAAAACTAGCTTAAATCAAACCATTCATTCATTAGAATAAGTCTTTGAAAAATTTAAATTGAGTTATTTGTTTATTTTCTAAAAATCTGAATGCAGTAATACAAAATTAATTTTAAAATATTTTTTATTGTTGTTTGAGCTAAACTCTGACAACCCTGCTCCGACTAATAGGAAATAATATTACACATATAATAAGGGATAATAAATATGTAACTAAATTTCATTAATCAAAAAATTTGCATTTAATGAATGAATAAATAATTCTAATATGTAACTTGAATTTTTTTATTATGTACTTAATATTAATTTTTAATAATTAGGCAAGAAATGGCAGGAGGAAGTCAGAGTTTGAAGTAAGTAATAATTTATTTAATTTTTAAATTTTTCAAATATTTTAGAAAAGTTATAGTACTTTGTTTTTTCTATTTTTTTTATATAATGTTTCATTTTTATTTAGAATTATATTTACTGTAAATGATTTAAAATATATTTATTATTTAAAAACTAAAATTTAGGTTTTTTTTAAAATATATTTATCAGTTTATTTTGATCTATTTTTATAATTGAAAATTTTTCATATTTATTGTGTGTATTTAGAATTAAACATCTAATTAATTTTTAATATTAAATAATTAATACTATTAATATAATATAAATTACCATATCTTCACTTTACTTTTATCATCATTATATTTTATGTAATCCTATATAAAATACTAGCATTTATCTTTCTTAAAACATGTCTTTAAGTATGGAAACAAGTGATATTTGTTTTCAGGCATGAAGTAAGATAAATGACTTACTTAGTTCCTAAATTATAATGATTGAAATAGTTCAAACAATTCAGAACAAAACATGCACTCCTTAAAGATTTCATGACTTATATGATGACAATACTTTTTAAAATGTAAATTAGTAATTCATATTTTTTTTAAAATTAAATTCATTAGTAGGAAAAATTTGTTAAGAGAAGTAAAACCAAATATTTAAATTAAAATGAAACTTTATGAAACAAAGTGTTCATATAAGATATTTAAAGAGACTTATAAACTACTGAATTCATATTAGATGTTTTTTATATATGTACTTTATTTCAGCTATTAAAGATTATTTTAGATTAAATGAAATATAATTATATATATATAAATTTTTTAAACAGAATTTACTCTTAACTACTATATAAAAATCTGGAAAATTTATAAAACAATAATTTTTTTTAATAATTTGTAATAAAGAATTCATTTAACAAAATCTTTAAGGCATGACTTGCTTTTTAGTAAAATGTTGAGGCAAAATCCATCAAATTGAGTCACATTTTATTCACTTTTAATCCAAGGAATAACATCACTGCATTGATTTTTTTTTCTTTTTAAAGGAGATTAGTATCACTGTTGTTCTTACAACTGAAAATGAATAAAATTTGCGAGTATATTCAATGGATTTGTCTCAACTTTTTTACTAGTAGATATTGATTGTCAATCTAGTATCAATATATTATTATTTTAAGATTAGGTTTATATTTTATTTTGATTAATAATTATTATATTTTTAAATATATTGTGTAAATATATTCATATATTTATACAAATTTTATTAAAAGTCTTCAATAAAATAATATTTATCATCTAAAACTAAAACTATAGTTCTTCAACAAAACTTAAGATATCTGATTATAAAAGATACTTTAAATTTTTTAGAATTTTTTAAAGTTCATTTTAATGTGAAAGTTTCCATTAAAGTAATTACAGAACAAATGGCATTTTTCTGTTAAATATTATACAATTTAAATTGTATTACTAATAATATATAGTATAAAAATTTTGTATTTGAATTTTAAATTAAAGAAAAATATTTATGAATAAATTATTTGCTGATATTTCTTTATTATTAAAATAAAGATTTAATATTTTATTTAAATGAAATATCAAGTATTTTGTTAAAATAATCATTCTAAAAATCCTCTTGACAGCTTAAAATGTTTTGAAATAATGAAACGTAAACATGTAAAAAGTTTTAAGCACTACATTTTAAATTATATTATAATAATTTATTTATTGAGTATTAAGGTTAGAACTCTGTTACTACATTTTAAATTATTAAAGTGCAAATAATAATTTATAATATAAAATTTTCTGAAGTATTTCAACATTATATTTCAGAAAATTAAAAATATAAAATTATTTACTTAAGCTGCTGAGATGATTGAGTAATTTGTGTATTTTAATTTGTTTTTGTTATGTTTGTTTATTTAGATATTGCAATTTTCTTAAGTTTGGATTTAAGTTCTTTTTATATTTTATTTATATATTTAAAAGTTTAAAGGTCTAGCATTTTATATCAAAGTAAAAAATAATTTACTCTGATTACTATATTTATTTAATATAGTTAAGAAATATTTAAATTTATTCCCAATAAATTATAATGAATCTATAAAAATCTCTGTGGCAGATTGCTAACTGCTGTTAGTCGATGGGTTATGTATGCCTTTATTTGATCCTTTACATCACATATAAATAGTGTTAAGATAAATATAACAAACACATACTTTCAGAAATATATATTTTTTTTAACTTACAATAAATAATAAATACATTAAAGAAATTTTTTTATTCAGTAAAATCTGTATGATCTGTAATACATATTTATTATATTAATTATTATTACTAGTTTTGTTTATTTTTATTATTATTTGGTATGTAGTTTTTTTTGGCCATTTTGCTTTTTCATTTAAATTTTATTTTGATGATGATTTAATTCTTTGATAATCATTTTGATTAGTCTTATAATTTCTTGTTTAAAAGCATATTATTAAAATTTTAGTTTTAATAGATTCTTATATATTTTTTCAGAATATATTAGTTTTGAGAGTTATCTATAAGAAAGTAGGAAAATAAATTCATATTTTTAAAACAAAAATGTACATATTCTTTGTTGTATTTACTCAAATTAAGCATTCAAAATTAACAGAAGAAAAATGAATATACAAATCTCAATTAACAAGTTACTATGAGAGCTTGTTAATGATTTTTATTATTTTATTATTTGATATATACTGTTCATGAATTACTTTACTTTTTCAATTTTAAAGCAGAGATGTAGATTTACATATGTTATATAATTGTTATATTACATTCTTTGCTAGCTTCTTTATTATGAATTTATTTTTCTGTTTCAACTAGAAAAACTCAAAATATGTATATTATTTGATAATGACTGAAAGATTATAAATTGTTCATAAAAATAAAGTAAAAGAATTATATATTTACTCTATGTTAAGTTTTATATTTACTCTATGTTTTTTAATGATTGTTTTGAAATATCCATATCTAAACAATTAAGGAGCAAAATGTAAAATTATTAATTTTATCTAAAAATAATGACTGAAAAGTAAGAAAAATGTTTTTAATTTTTAAAATATAATGGAATTTTATACTGTATCAGATCCTTCTCAATGTTTGATGATGTGAACAATTTTATCTAATCAACAATATATTTATTAAAAATAATATTTTAATTTGACAAATATTAATATAATAACTTATTGAGTCGTAATATTTATCAAAGCAACATTTATTAGTTATGGAAATTTATTTTTGGGAAAATAAAATGCTAAATAGAAACATTTTAAAATAGCTAGTTATTAGAGCATTCATTCATAGACAGTTAATAATTGAAATTTTATTTTATATAAATAAAGTCTTCTTTTAAAGAACAAAATGATATGTTTGTATATTTTAAAAGTATTTAAATCAAGATTAAAAAGTAAAACTTTTTCATGCAAGAACAAAACTTTCTGAAGGTTTCTAGTTATGTTTTTAAATTTGTTTAGAGACTTCATATGAAATATTTCAATTTGTGTGTAAAATAATAAAAATCAAAAAATGTTTATTAAATTTAAAGAAAAGTTTGTATTAGTATACAAACTGCTACCCCTAATACAAACTGCTACAAAATAATTGCAACAACTCCTTTCTTCATTATTTTAGTTTATGTAATAGTTATGTCAGATTCATCATTTTCTGGATTTTGTAATATAAAATCAATTTGTGGCGTAGTAAACACTAGTATTGTGTTTTATTCCAAAGACACATGGCAAAATTTCCATCAAATTCCTTTATTAGTTGAGTCGACTCAACTAATAAAGGAATTTGATGGAAAATTTGCCATGTGTCTTTGGAATAAAACACAATACTAGTGTTTACTACGCCACAAATTNCCTTTTCATGTTCACATTTTTCTGCTTTGTTGAAGTGATACCATCCACCATCTTCATTTAAGTTTTTTTTTTCTTTAACAGATATGAACTAATAACTATAAAAGCAGAAGCACAAATTATTGTTTGAGAATCATCCATTTTCTAAACCTCAGATGAACATTTTATGCTCCTGCAATGAACCAATTCTCAGCAAATAATCAAATGTGTGTACATCTATGTTTGCCAAGTAACAATCAGTTCAGTAAATCATTTGGTGAAAGGCAAATATTTGGCATTCAGTGAATAATGAATGTGTGGATGTGACTTATGTTAAACTATTCATCTATTCACTTCTCAAAATTTACTGCAGAAATAAATCAATTTTTTACTGATATAACACATTAACTAATTTGATAATTGTTCATTAAGGTGAGTTGTAACTTCTTTGATTTTGCATGTAGATGGTGTTAAAAATGTAATGCTTTTTCTATGGGAAAATCCTTATTCAAATATTCTTGAAAATTAAGTGGATGAATTCTAACACAAACTGTTTGGTTCTATCTACTTTCGTTTTCAAGAATTTTTGGAAAAGGACTTTTCCATAAAAAAAAGCATTAAATTTTTAATAACATCTGCTTGACTTCAAGTGCGTAACCGAACAAGTTACAATCAACCTTGTTGAAAACATTTCAACTTGATTTTATATTTTCTTTTTGAAACCGTGTCCTGTTTTATATTTGTGGCGTAGTAAACACTAGTATTGTGTTTTATTCCAAAGACACATGGCAAATTTTCCATCAAATTCCTTTATTAGTTGAGTCGACTCAACTAATAAAGGAATTTGATGGAAAATTTGCCATGTGTCTTTGGAATAAAACACAATACTAGTGTTTACTATGCCACAAATATAAAACAGGACACGGTTTCAAAAAGAAAATATAAAATCAAGTTGAAATGTTTTCAACAAGGTTGATTGTAACTTGTTCGGTTACGCACTTGAAGTCAAGCAGATGTTATTAAAAATTTAATGCTTTTTTTTATGGAAAAGTCCTTTTCCAAAAATTCTTGAAAACGAAAGTAGATAGAACCAAACAGTTTGTGTTAGAATTCATCCACTTAATTTTCAAGAATATTTGAATAAGGATTTTCCCATAGAAA